CACGGCGCTCGACTCACGAACCGCGTCACGAGCGCCTGCAACCGACACATATTTACATTATTATTTGGACTGTATGTCGTTACCTTATAAGGAGTGTTTTTTAAACTTTTCCATCTATCTGTATAAATAAGTATAATAAAAAAATAGCCAAGAAATTCAAGGACGTTCGTTAGTTTTTAAATATATTTGTTAAAACTATTAATTAGTTGGAGAAGACTTATAAATCAAAGTGACAAGTTAGTACCACTACTATACCCACGTATGTAGTGTGTAAGAGTGTAGAGTGCAGAGTGTAGTACGTACCCTGCCCTTGCGCACGGCGAGCACCTGCGGCAGGCGGTCGGCGTGCAGCAGCGCGGCGAACATGCGCGCGAGCAGCTCCTCGCGGTCCTCGTCCAGCAGGTTCTTCACCGGCGGCGGCTTCTGGCCCAGCGCCACGCTCACCACCTGCCGCAGCGCCACACGCACATACACAACAATGTTCTCATTCTATGTAAACATATATTTCCGACAATGAATACGTGCGAATTTCTAAAACCGAAGGCTTCAGGTTTTTGAAAGTGTTGTAAATGCATACATGTATGGTACATGCAGCTTACTGCACCTAGTTCTGTCCCACACCATGAGAGAATCATTTGTCCAAGTGACCGACCTGTCTCTTGTCGATGCTGTCGCTCTTGGGGCTGTCCTGCTTGGGTCTGCGCTGCACAGACTCTATGTTCTTGAGGAACAGGTTGGATTCGTCCTCCGCAGAGTTTTCCAGCGCCTCCTTCTGGGCCGCCTCCATCTGCTTCTGCTTCTCTTCTCTCTCCTGAAACGTTATAAACAGTACCATAAAGCCTTTTTTTCTAGCTTAGATAGAAACACATCTTCTGACCCAAGAAGATAACGTTAGCTACCGCTGTATGATGTAACACCAGTAAATGTGACAATTTAGATATAACAAGTGTCGTGGTGTACCTTGAGTATGAGCGCGTTGGCGATGGCGAGGGGGTCGTTGAGCTCCTCGAGGCGCAGCAGCGTCACGTACATCGCCTCGATCTCCAGCAGCACCTGCTTCGTGCGGCGCACCTCGCGCGGCACCTGCACCCAACACACACTCACTCCCTAACTGCAACTGTGCTCATCGGGACTGTCGGTGGCACTTGCCTGCTACGATATTTGACTTTATGCAGACAACGTATAGCAAGTTGAGGGTGGGGCAAAAGCGTCAGATGCTTGACATGTCTAGTTTCGTACAGTTTCGTTTCTGAATGGAACCCACCAGAATACACCGAAATGAAAAGCGACCGCTGCCCATAAACATCTACGCGTCTCCTCCACCGTCAAATCTTTTCCTTCCATAAGAGACCTCTTAAGAAATGGGTGGAACTGGAAAGGGACTAAAACTCCAGGGCTAAATGTATGTATATGAGGGCGGAGCGCACCTCTGCGGGGTTGGTGGTGCTGGCGGCGCTGGGCGCGCGCGAGCCGCGGCCGGCGGCGGGCTCCGACACCACCTCCACGTCGATGATCTTGCGCGGCGCCGTCACGCTGCCGCACTGCGCACACACACAATACGTTGGACAATTAATACGCGCTCTTTCATAATACTAATCACGTAAACGTATCTTCCATTTCCCTCGTATTGTCAACAAATGTTGAAAAAACAAATAGTAGTAGTAAAAAACATTGGTGAATTTTTGAAGTCGATTCAGTAGTTTTAGAGTTTATTCGTTGCATGCATATGTTTTTTTCTATATGATACTAGTGCAGATATGTATATACATGCCTGCAGTTTTCCCAGCGAGTTCTCGAACTGCGCGGGCGTGTAGTGGCGCGGCGCGGCGTCCTCGCTGGTGCTGTGGCGGTGCGAGCTGCGCCGCTCGCGGCCGCCCGCCTCCTGCTTCACACCTGCACACCAGTATCGTTACATATCGACTGCCGCACTGCACATCCACTGCTGAACAACTTTAAGGCCATACCAGTAACGCTTAACGGCTGTCGATGCGGCAGTAAAAGTATAAGTGAACACAAAACAATAACTAAACTTATTGAAATATTTATGCAAATGGTATTAAAGTAATAAATAAAAGGGTCTGTAGAAATTCAGCGTCCAATAAAGATGAGAACAAATAAAAACATAATAACATAAAACATCCCTTTTTTTAAATGGTTGAAAATAGTTCATGGTAACAACATATATCATAAATCATTGTAAAAAACCTCACCTCCACTATAGAAGGGATGATTTTGCTGGTTAGCCTTGTGTGCCTCTTTTACACCCTCTTTCTCTTTATTCGCCTGTCGCTCGAGGAATACCTGCAGATACACAAGACAAATGACATTTTACACTTTCAACAAAACATAATTCAAATTTCATCATCATTACATAGCAAATACACTCCTCCTAATGTGTAAATATACAATTACACAGAAAGTATACTCCTCCAAATGTGTAAATATACAATTACACGGAAAGTATACTCCAAATGTGTAAATATACAATTACACAGAAAGTATACTCCTCCAAATGTGTAAATATACAATTACACAGAAAGTATACTCCTCCAAATGTGTAAATATACAATTACACGGAAAGTATACTCCTCCAAATTTGTAAATATACAATTACACAGAAAGTATACTCCTCCAAATGTGTAAATATACAATAACACAGAAAGTATACTCTTCCAAATGTGTAAATATACAATAACACAGAAAGTATACTCTTCCAAATGTGTAAATATACAATTACACAGAAAGTATACTCCTCCAAATGTGTAAATATACAATTACTGAGTAAAGAAAATGGGTAAGGTGTACTGACGGTGTAATAGAAGTCGTGTATGTAAGGTGTGCCGGTGTTGAGCTGCAGCATCTGTATGTTGATGAGCCACTGCTTCTCGCGCGACGTCATCAGGCCCGCGTACTCGTCCACCTCGCCACCGCCAGCACCGCCACCGCCTCCGCCGGCGCCGTCGTCGTCGTCGTCGTCGCCGTTCATCATGTGTCTGGAGAAGGTGGACACAACAGTACATAACGAGAAGATATTTAGCACTAGGGCCGATTATAAGAAAACCTGAAAACTAATAGTATATATTAGTAAAGAACTAGTAAAACGACAAAAAACAGCAGGTGGATTTCCGTTTTTTCGAAGAAAAAAAAGATGTTCGACCTACTATCAATAGTCTATCTAAAAGTATTTAAGTACCTGTTGACATTATTGTATGTGCCATTGCGTTGGTTGTTGAACATGGGGTGGTTGTTGATGAACTGCGAGTTGGTGAAGACGGCGCCGCGGTTCAGCATGGGGTGGTGGCTGGCGTTGTGGAAGCTGTTGTAGGGCAGCACGGGGTACGTGGACTGCAGCAGGAACTTGGCCAGGTTCTGTGAATTCATCATCTTGGTGCTGGTGTTGGTGTTATTGTACACTCGGCTCTTCTGCACCTTCTCGTTCCTCTGGTTGGCGGGCGGCTTGAGCGCGGCTTGGCTGCCTTTGTTCTGAGGCGAGACGTGCATGCTCATCTGCGCGTTCGCAGGTTTCGAGTTTATTTGTTGATTCGTTTGCTTCATGTTGCTCTGCTGAGAGTTCATTTGCGAGTTTATAGACTGCGAGTTCATTTGTTGCAAGTTCGTTTGTTGCAAGTTCATTTGCTGCAAGTTCATTGGCTGACTGTTAATTAGCTGGGAGTTTTTATGCGGCGCATTCATTTGCTGAGTGGCCAGTTGCTGTGAGTTGACCTGCTGCGGGTTCTGCTGCATCATCTGCGGAGAGTTCATTGCGGGTTTGGCAATCTTCTGGTTTATTAGCGGTTGATTCTTTACATGTTGGTTCATCATCATATTCTGATTTATTTGTGTTTGTTGTTCTGTTGATTTATTGGCTGTGATTGGGCCCTAAAAGTATGAACAATATTAACATTTTTCAGCAAAACTTGTCTATAAATACAACTTTGGGTATTAAATATTTCATTTTTAATTTTATAAATAAACTTTCTTTATGTCTGTATTTCAATAAAAAATGAATGATTTTATTGTAAAAAAAAAGTACTTACACGAAAATTAGGATTAAATTGGTTCATACTTGGACTGTAATTTTGCCGCTGCATCCCCATCCCCGGAGGCGGAGGGAGCCGGGACTGGCCCAGCATGTGAGGGAACTGGTTCATGCCCGGCCCGTACTGGCCGCCGTTAGACAACATGTGGTTCATATTCTGTCCTAAAGGGTTCATACTCTGGCCTATTTGATTCATCTGATTCATTTGGTTCATACTCTGGCTCATTTGCGCCATAGTTTGATCCATTTGGTTCATACTCTGTGCCATGGGGCTCTGCAGCGTGTGGTTGGATTGGCTCATCTGATGGATATTCTGCATGTTGTGTTGCATTTGGTTCATCATGCTCTGTCCCATTTGGTTGTTCTGAAACTGACTGTTCAATTGATTGTTTTGCATAAAAGGGTTATTCTGCGTCATCTGGTTCATAGTTTGACTCATTTGATTCATATTCTGGGTCAATTGATTTGCGTTCTGTGTCATTTGACTCAAGTTCTGACCCAATGGATTGACATTTTGCATCATATGGTTTTGCATTGCTTGATTTCCTTGAGCCATTTGGCTGATTTGTCCGGATTGGCCGATGACCTTGTTCAGTGGCGCGCCCATCTGACCGATGTTGTGTCCTATGGGCTGCTGAGGCGCAAAGGGCAGGGGGACCGGCGCCTGAAGACCCGGTGGTCTTTGTAGAATCATGGTTGGAAATCTTTGCTGAAATTAATAAATTCAAATCATAAACATATGACCAAGTTGACCTGAAGATTTTTCCTTTCACTTAATATAATTTACACACTAAATTGAGTTATAATTCCTTATACAAACCTGATAGTAGTTCTGTGTGGGGAAGGGGGCCTGCTGTTGCTGCTGACTCTGGCGCAGCTGCCTCTCCAGCTCCTCCACGGTGCATACATTTTTGAGTGGTGGCACGGGCTATACAAAAAACTTATATGATAATTTCAATGTAAAAATTTTGCAGTCTTATAATGAAAATTGTCTACTATGACACTAAATACTACACAAAGCAACACTGAAGTATGTAGAGATACTGACAGTGGGTGGTATGTGGGGCGCGGGCGCGGGCGCGGCGAAGGAGAGGTCGTGCCGCCACACGGAGGAGCCCAGCGAGATGTGCGCCGGCTCCGGCTCGTCCAGCACCAGCTTGGCCAGGGACGCCTCTGAAATCACACATTGCCGTTAATTAACAATGCAACACATCATTATAATTTGCTGGATACACTTGGAATTCAGTCATAAAATGTGTGTTCTATTAATTTTTTAAATCTTTCATATTGACAGCACTTTAATAAAAATAGTAAGAAAGAACAGGATAACAGGCAGCCATTTATTCCTTGCTTGTGTATGACTTGACAGTCTTATTCGCCATACTTGTCAGACTTATTTGCCAAATGCTTCCCTGTGGGGCAGTTGTTCTCACCGAGCTGTGAGTTGACATCGTCTACTTGGGTGTGGTGCCGCCGGCTGCTCTCCAGCTGCTCCGCCAGCTGCTCGTGCTCCACCTCCCAGTCCAGCTCGTCCGCTGCACACACATAACATTCACACAATCTTACTTATGAATACCAAAGTTTCTCTGGAACGGCTTCACAGATCTTACAGATAAATGGGATTGATATAGAACATAGTCTGAAGGAACAAAACTTACTAAGTTTTTATTTTCAAACATGGACAGTCGGGGGG